ATGGTTGTGTATATTAAAATCACAGAATGAAAATACTGTTCTGTACTTGAAATATGAAGATTAATCATATGCCGTAATGAGCATGGAACAATGCAGTAAATCAACTGTTGTAATAAGTTTAGTTTAGCAGCTGATGTGTCACTAATAATGAGATAATAACGTAAAGACTGCTGTGATTGGGGTCTCTGACATGTGGTAGGAGGTATAGACAGTCCAAGTAACTAAAGAAATCAAACCAAATTTTTATTTTGAAAAACATTTTTTTTCAGAGGAAAAAGTTTACTGAAGAATATAGAGATGAACATGGTGGTTTGCTTTCAAATGAAAGTTAAAAAGACAATAGTAAAACAGTGATGGAACTGGGTAGGCTGCATTTACAATATGTCCTAAGGTCTAAGATTCAGAGACTATTTTCTACTGATTTGTGTCACCAGTTACAAAGGCGATGGGAGACCTTGATTGGATCGTAAGAATCCCATAGTGTAGTGAATGCAGGGGCGTAGCCATCATTTCAAAAGTGAGGGGGACAGAATGTGTAATACCAAGTGTCAGGTTTTTGTTTAATAGGCTTAATATGCTATTTATTTTAAAAGCAATAAAGCAGAAACAAAGAAATTTGTCCAGTACTTTATATTGCATGCAGGTTTTTTCCTGGCTTAAAATGAGGCAGAGGTGGTAAAATCCTGATCATGTATTTTAATAAGATAATAAAATGTGCATTTTTCATAGGCCATCATATAATCTACTGTGTTACCCACAGTTTTTGTAGGTGGATCTCGGTACTGGGTAAAAAAATAATTTTTTTACATTTTAAAGTTAAATTCATTAATCTGGTGCACTTTGAGTCTCCTGAATCCACTCTAATGCGAATGGTCATTCTAAGGTTTGTGTTTTTTAAAGCATAAAGGGTCCCTTGTAGCCTGACTTCGTCATACTCATATTCAAGAGAGAATATGAGTCTGAAACCGCTCTATTAGGCGTGTCTGAACCACGAAAAAAAAAAACCTCTGCACCCAATTGGATAGTCGGTAGACCTACAATCAGAGCAACTCAGTAAGTCAACTCCTTTGCATAGCGCAGTTTTCAAATACAGAACGTAGCCTAACTTTATTTATTTTAGAAGTTAAATAACGAGTGTTGCTTCTTTACTTACTTCTCCATGAGTGCCACCAAAGGAGAAACCACAACGACCACAGGCTTTTCATTACGTCCCATCTTCTTAACGACCGTCAGAGCCAGCTGATAAGTTACACTTTTCCCGAATCATGTAGGAAGGACGCCAAAAATATCTTTCTGATTGACAAATGCCTTGATTGCAGTTTTCTGTTTGTCTATTAAAATGAATGCGCTGTCGTTTTATTTTACAACAGACGCGACAGCGGAATCTACACATCTCAATTCTCCAGCTGCTGTCATCTTTGACAAGCACTCTTTGATAACATGATGATTACGTCCCTGCAGATCATCTGTCAATCATCGTATAAAGCCCGCCCTGGCAATTTGATTGGCCTGTTCATTTTTTGCCTGATCATAATTTCTTCTCAATGGATCGAGTCCAGACCGAACTTCCCGACCAAAAAATGTTGTGGGCGGAGTTCGGGCTGGCAACCAGGCTAGGTCCCTTGTTGATTTGCAGGTCTACTTCGGTATGTGAGCAAAAGTAATGTTCATAAAATGTTTATATGTAATTTGTGTATAATTAAAAGTCAGGGACATTTGTGCATGTGTATGCCAGCGTTATATGCAGTTATTGGCTTATTTCAGGTGTGCATCCCTAGCTCGACTGTGAACTACAAATAACCCTCAAATTCAGTAGAAAATCCCCAAAATAACAAAAAAAAAATCTCTTGTTCCTTCAATCTATTCCCCATCTCATACGTAACTTCCACTTAGACAAACCTACAGAGAATTTTTTCCTCAAATCCTGGTTACAAAAGCATCTTTGAAGCCAGGGGTCCCACAGACTTGTGAGCTAGGGCTGCTACAAACAACATGCACACAGTACACACAGCATCTACCTCCCTTAGGGACTCGTTACTTACAAAAAAGACTGGATATGTGATCTATGGCATTTTCACTCTGCCTGTCCTGTTTGAGTGAGGAGAATGAAGACTTTTACACCTACACCACTGTCCCTAAGATTGTCTATTAGATCATGGAGATCTTGTATGTATGAGATGTATGTTTAGGTACTGCTGGGAGATTACAGAAAGTTAAAACTGAATGAATAATCTGATTGAGTTTCAGCCCTCTAGTCCACTCTAATCTAAAGGTGTTAGTGAGTAATCTTTAAAATACTAAAACCCTCAGGCTTGATAGATACTAAACTTCTTTCATACAGTACACCTAAACAAAATCACCTAACCCCAGGTGCATCTGTTATCTGACAGACTGATACAGGTAAACAGGTTGATAGGATGCTGAACAAAAACAAACCAACAGAGTGAGAGAACACACACAGTTAATGCAACTGAAACCTGCAGGGATCACCTGTCATTTAGGAAAGCACAAGCTAACTGTACACCTTCAGGATATAGGAAGAATGCATTCTACTTTACTTTTGAATTTTGTGAGTATAGATGGGAATTGTAAAAAAACATTGAATGATTCTGGTTCTGATTTCTTGTGTGTTTTCAGTTTATTAATGGTTTTATTAATGTTTTTAGTACATTTACCAAATACATAGTTAAAGGTGTGGTATAATGCCATTTTCACGTTGTCAAAAAGTCTTTGATGTCGCCAGAGTGTGTATTTGAAGATTTAGCTCAAAATACCCCACAGATATTTTTATATAGCATGTTAAAACTGACCCTATTTGGGTGGTGGGTAGACGGACTTATGCGGCACTATTTATTTTCAAGTATTACAGCCATCTTTTTATGAATGTAAACCAGTATCACTAATATTATAGATCCTGAGAAAGAAGAAAATGATTTCCCCCAAAATTTTAAACATTATGCTTTAAAAAAATATAAAAACCTTTAATTTAAGTGAACTTAAAACAATCCTCACTTAAACCTATAATAAATGCCATTTACCTGTACCATACAGATATTGAATAATGTTATAAAACAGTCCGCACTGCATAAATTATAAATAAAATATAGATTAATCCTGATCAAAGCTACAAGCATTCTTTAGTCAAGAGCAGTGAGTAATTTTCTCTGTTCCCTTTGTTCTTTAGGTTAACTTTACTGACATACAGAATTAATCCCTCCTGTCACTTTAAGATCTGTCGCTGCTGACCTGATCGCATTTCATTCTCTCACTACTATTTACTTACATTTAAGATTTTATTTAACTAATTTAAGACTGTTCTTGTGAGGATGTTTGACAAAACTGACATTTTGCCATAAATGTGTGTTATTGTTTGTTTCAGCATGAAAGAGAACTTGATACTGGCGTGCGTCTTTCTGTGCGTCGTGTGTTTGTGTTCGTGTATGTTCCAGGAGGACATTCACTGAGAGTGCGTTCGCTTTTGTCTTGTCACGCATGAGTGGTTTAAAGTTGCGTGAATAAGAACATGGTCATAACCCTAGCTAAAGGATGACAGATGCTACGTTTGCATTAAATATCTTAACACGTTAAAGCTGGACAAAAGTGAATTGCGAAAATAATAATTTTATCCTCACGGCCGCACGCCGGAGATAATTTAATAATTTAAGCCCTGCTCCTGACTCGCTACAGTGGTTTTGACGGAACAAGA